CGCCCCATCCCCCAGATCCAACAGTCCTTCATGCCTCTGATTCCGTTTCGACAGCCACTGTTTTAACTGTCCATTCCAATTCTCTGTCAAACTAACGGAGGAGATCTCTCTGCCCATTGTTGACACTGGGCTGTAGAGTATGCATGCTTATTGGTTGGGAGAAATGACAGTTGGCCATCCAAATGGGTGCAATATCTTCTGTTGTGTTTTTTTTTCATAATACTTGGAATTTGCATCTACCACTGGGTATGCAAAGCCCAGTACAGAGTCAGTGTCTATTCCTGTTAAAAACCCTTTTGTAGCCCCCAGGGCTACCAGCATGAGTCTGACTTGCCAGCTATGTTCAGGGCCTTCCCACCAGGCGATCTGCCACGTGGCCACTTGCAGTCTGTTCTCTCTTGTTGGCAGACAGAACAGCTTACTGGCTTTTTGTGCCTTGGGGGTTGCAAGAGAGAGATGTTTAGATTTCCATTATCTGTCCTGCTGCTGTGCCCCCACATCTATTCATTTCATGGACCCAGGTGGCCATCTCAAGGAAGCACATGGGGATATCTGCTTGTTGATTCCAGTCACCTTCCATTTGTGGAAAGGCGTTCTGATGGGCACTGACATGTCCTACTTGAAGTCACCCCTCAAATTCCCATAGGACCATCCCCATATAGGCATCCCTTTATAGGCCAAGTTCCACTGCCCTTCTGCCTGACCACATGACCAGGCCATTGGCCACTGCCCATGAGTCAGCGAGTCAGTAAAAATCCAAACATAGGTGCTTTTATCATGGTTCAATTCTCTCATCACTGCTGGAGAAACAACAATGCAATTCAGCTCACTTGGCTAGTCTGTTTTTACCATCTTGATCAGGGTGGTGGCCTCCCAAATGGTATGTTGTCCATTTACTTTGGAATTGCTGTCCACAAACCAAGCAGCTCTTTGTTGGTCAGCTGAGAGCTGTTTGTAGGGACTGTCCATGTGACATTAGAATCCAGGAGCAGCTCATACAGCTCCAGAGTCAGTCCTAGGGGAAAAGAGTTTCCAGCATGATCCCATGTTAAGTCATTTCCATTTGATTATGGAATGTTTCTGGGCACTGCCATCCCATTAGTGTGTGTCTTGGATATCAGTGAGGACATGTGAGTGTTTCACATGTCAAGATCCTGTTACACCCCTTCAGTCACAGGAGCAGCTTCAATAAATAATGTCAGACAGTAAGGTAGTAAGTGCCCCTCAGATGGAAGTTCACTTGCCCAAAGGCGCAGTAGTTGTCACTGGGAGGTGCACATAGGCTCCTGCCATAAGCCCCAATCTATACTCCACATAGGGCTACCGCACAGAGAGCTTGTCCGACCAGCTCAGGCAATCTTACTGATTTCCATTTAGCATGTCCAGTTCACACAGCCTGCAGGGTGGCTTTACGTGCCTTCTCTTTTACAGCACAAGGTAGGGGAAAATGTGCCTCATTAAGACACAACATCCATCCCCAAAATACTATCAGGTAAAAGAGATGCAACCACGTCCCATAAACCCTGTTCAAACATACCAATTCTCCTACAAACTCATTGTAATTCCATCAACTCTTATGTTCCTAACTGTAGCCTCCATAGGACTTCATCGACAGGTTTTGGTTTTATATTCAATACTAGGTAGGGAAAGTGTGGAGGGAAGACTATTCCATGGAGAGACTGCTGCCAGACCCGCAAGCTGGACCTGAGCCAGAAGGGGGGACACTGCTTACTGCAAACCCCGCCTTAAAGACTGTCTGATTGTAATCGCTGTTCCTTCTGACATAAATCAGCAGCCCTACCCTGCCTCCCACTATGTGCTGGTTCCTGGAACAGGTGGTTGTCCTGACCTGGTCAAGCACGTAATTTCCTGTACCTCGTAGCATAACATCATATATAGCAGTACTTGTGACTATCCCCCACCCTCTACTTTTTACCCTTTGGCACCTGCCAAGCGGGCGCGGGGATCCATTTCATCTTGCAGCTAGCTACCCAAGACATGCCTCGTGTAAGTTTCCTATAATAATCTACGTTAATTACCAGACCGGAGTGGACAGCCTGTTCCTGCAGTCTTTCCCTTCCCTCCGCTTATGGAGGTAGGCTTTTCAGTCTCGGGACTTTTCTCTGGGTCTGCACGTAGCAACAGGAAGTGTTCCCCAGCCAGACATACTATCCAATCCCATAATGCAGACAGGTAAAGGAAACACAATTTCTTTACATAATACCTGCTTAAATATTCCACCTTTCATAATCTTATCAACCATTACATTTTTACATTCTTTCAGTCTAATTGTAAGATGGGTGAGGGCTTCACCAATGGGTTTTGGTTCCACAAAGCCTGTACGCAGATGTAGAATTCTCTTCCTCCCAGCGATCTTTCTGCTGCACATTTAATTTTTTACATTTGCTCTCCCTATTAACTTTAAACATCTTGAGGAAACTAATACATACCGCCTACTATGTCCAGGCGCTGTTGTAAGCACTGTAATGTGTGTTCGCTATATTATTTAAGATTATTCAATTCTTCTACAAAAATGGAAAGAAACTAAGTATGGGAACAAATAGCTTACATGACACAAGGAGAAAGGAGATTCATAAAATGTGTTAAGTATAAATAGTAAATAAGTTATTAACCTGTGAAGCATGTTTAAGATAGAATCAATGGAACAAATCTGTGTTGAACATAGATAAAAATAATGGAACAAATGAGAGTATCACAGATAGAAAGGGCTGGACGAATTAAGGAAATCTTAGATATTCATAAGGTAAGGATGATGTCGCTTCCAGATAGACAACTATGTTATCCCTAAATCAGCCACAAATCGGTGACATCCATTCTGGTCCCACATGTGCTCTTCCCATGAAACACAGGTAAAACTCATGGTTGCTCAGCAGGGTAATATATGGCAAGATACAGCTGTGACCAGGCCGACTTTCTCCCGCATCGCTCCAAAAGGACAAAAATATGTGTTGGCTCCATTTCCTGTCTGCTGAGGCCACTCATGCATCCTCACCTCTAGTCTTCATAACTCTGCCACTAGCCAGGAAGGCGGATGCAGAAAAGATAGGATATATGAACATTGAGTAACATTAAGACTTGGCTAATATAGTCCTTCTACTCCCTCCCCTCCCCACACCCTATCTCTTTCCCCCTGATGTATGTTTTAAACTAATCTAATAAACTGTGAAATTCAAGCAACTCAATTTGATCTGAGCCTTTCTGTTCCATGACCTCTAGGATGGCCTAATTCGTAGTGTACTTGAAGCTACTATTATAATTTCCCATCGCAATAAATGCTTTACAAGTAATATATTATTAAATCACACAACAGTCCTATGAGGAATTATTATTATCCTACAGATTTAGAAACATAGTCTCAGAGTGGTTAAGTAACTTGTTCAAAGTAGCACATCTAATAAACAGGAGAACTAGAATTCATGCCCATGATGATATGGCTCCAGTATCCACATTCTTTTTCACTGAGTTTGTTTATTTTTATATCTTCAAGACTGAATATGACACCTTATATATAGTATACATATTGCTCAATGATTTTAATTAATGATGGAATCTTGGCTCTTAGTTTGCCATGTGGCTTATGATAAATTATCTAACTTCTTTAAGACTCAGCTTTCTCATAGAATTTACTTAACTATTATTTAAAGTTCATATGTAAAAAATTTTACTCTGCACTTGACCGCTAGTAGTTGCCTAAGAAAAGATAACTCTCACCCCCAACTCTGGGGGGTGGGGGGTTAGAAAGAACTTTCATTTTCAAAGCTGAATTTTCCATCCTATTTACCATACTTCACACAGCTATCCACAAAACAGGTGCATGTTGTTCAGGGCTCAATATTTCAGCTTCAAGTGTCTTAAATCTTTCACCTCATTTTTATTTTTAGACCAAACTATTTTTTATTTCTGTTGTAGTTATCTTTAGTTTCCCTGAGAGACAGGTATTAGTAATTCAACCAAGTTATTGTGACCATCAGTAGCCAGTCACTGCCTACTGCCATTACAGGGGAGGATTTCCTCTCCACGACTTTCACTTTTGGCTTTCAAAAGAGCATTTAGCAGGGAGACTGTGCAGTCAACTACTTTCGAGCTGGACAGTCTTAGTTATTTATCCGCTGAGTGGGTTTCTTCATCTGCAACAGAGAGACATTGCTAGCGCTCCCTCATAGAGATGTCCTGGCGATTCAATGACAATTCACACAAGATGCTTAGATGGCGCCCAACACTGTGTAAGAGCTCAATCAACATTACTAAAAGCTTAGTTTGTTGAGACAATTTTACGGAACTTTCAAAATACCTTTCTGAATTATTTCCCCCCTTCTCCTCACTCTCAAGCTCCACCTGCTCCACGCACCCGCACACTTCCCTCGGCTACTTCTTTTCCGGCGCTTAAAAACAAAACAAGGCAGTTTTTCCTCCTGGTTAATTTGTTAACAGTGCAGTTTTCCTTTTTCACCAAGAATGTGTCTTTTGTCTACCACCAATTCGCACACGGATGGCACTTTCTCCTTATCTCATCCTGTGTATGGTCCTACCGCCGCCACCTGGCAGTGTCTCAGGACAGGCCGAGTTCGCGCGACGTACCGTGTTCCCTGAGGCACGGGGAGAGCAGTTGGGAATCGCGACCTGGAGAGGTGACCTAGACTAGCGGGCCAAGGAAGCAGAGCCGGGAGCCACAGAGGCGGGCGGGGCAGGCCGAGGGGGCGAGGCCCAGTCGGATCTGGGCGAGCTTCTTAGGGGGCAGGTGGGAGGCCGGTCCGGCCTGGCGGAGTGGGCGGGGCCTGTTGGGGTAGGCGGAGCCCTGAGACAGGGGAGGCAGGGTCCGCAGGCGCAAGGTGATTCATTAGGCCGGCAGAAGGCGGGGCCGGTGCAAAGGGATGGGGCGGGACCTGCTGGAGTAGGCGGGGCCCTGAGGCGGGTAGGCGGGGTCGGCAGGAGAGGGAGGCGGGGCCAGGGCTGTGAAGTTGGTGCGGGGCTGGGAAGAGGCGGAGAGTTCCTCTGGCCTCAGGCGGGAAGGCGGGGCTGGCGCGGTGGAACCGGAGGGCCAGGCCGATTGGGAGAGGTCTCTGCAGCCGGGGGCGGGGCGAACTCAGCAGCCCAGGGGGCCATCTGAGTCCTGCCCTAGTTGGAGGTGGCCTGCGGCGCTCGGTTGCCACAGCTGCGGTGGCACTGGCGGAGTCTGCGCGATGGGCGACCCGGAAAGGCCGGAAGCGGCCAGGCCGGAGCAGAATGAGGTAAACATGCTGCCGCTTTCTCTCCGGTCCCACAGTCACGCCTAGCCTGATTGCAGGTTGCGTCGAGTACCTGCAAAGTGCAGGACCGCTGTTGGAAATTTTACCCATTGCCATCGGAAACCCGGTGCAAGTCGGGCCTCGAGCCCTTGGAGCCTAGTTTCGTCTTTGCTAGCGCTCGGGGGGCTGTCCCCGAGGTGGGGTGAGGAGTGAGTTGGGTTTCTGCTCCACTGCTCTGCACCCGGGCCAGCCAAGGGCAACAATCTGAGGCTCCTGGCTGGGGCGAGGCGCACCCCCTCCTTTACTCTCCTCCCATCCTTCCCTGTTCTCGAGTTCTGGCCTTGGAAACGGAGGCAAGGAACGAGGACTGGTGGGTCTACTGAAGAAATGCATGCCATCTCTGGGATAGTTCAAGGAATTGGACGACTCCTGTGGGAATGGACACGGTTGGGGTGGAGATGATAGGTAGAAGGGCGACCAGAAATCCTCACAACGATGAAAATAATCAGTTTAGGAGGCCACTTTTGCTCAGACCAGGCTACTTAACTAGTTGTGAATCTTTGAGTTGTTACTTTCTTCATGTATACAGTGGAAGTGATACTTCTTTCACAGAGAATTAAGTAAAATGCTTTATGCAAAGTACTACGGATGTTGTGGGTGCTTACTAAAACCTAAATTAACATGTTCATCCTCTCTGCTTCTAGATTAATAAAAGTACATAACAGTAAACGAACTGGGATTTATTAGACGTTAGTGTTTTAGAGTAGTTCAAACTGTTCTGTAATTTTCATATCCTGTTATTCTGTAAATACTTCTAAACCATTTGTATTTCTCTTGAACCTGTTGCTGTGTGTGGTATCTTTGATTTAATAGTTTCAGCTCACAGAGACTTATGTTTAGCACTACATTTCTTTAGAAAGTTATAGATTTTAGATTTAGGATTTTATTTTATTTTTACTGTAAACATTTAGTAACAAATTAAAATATCCCTCAAACTTTTTTCCCCCCTTTAAACAAATACATTTAGTACCAATTTCCCCGCCTCAATGGAACAATTCAAAATTTTCCTTTTGTCCTAATGGCAGACTTAAGACCTGGAAGACCTGAAAGTTAATTTTTATTTATTGTCCCTATCTCAATGATGCAGACCCACAAAGACGAAGGCATAACTTTAGATCTGGAGTGAATTTTAGTGAGCATCAGTTCCAAAAGTTTTTACCTTGAGCTTTAAGTACTTTGTTTCTCTATTATGATAGTGCATCCTGGGCCACCTGCATCAGAATCACCTGGAGTATTTTGTAAACAATGTAAATTACTGGGCCTATGCCCCAGACATTCTCATAGTGAATCAAAATCTTTTGGGATGGGTCTGGGACTGCATTTTCAACAAACACTCCAGGTCATCCTGGTATACACATTTTAAGAACACTGCCTTAAAGGATTTATAGAAAGGCTTGAAGGGGGTTTGTGAGTCTCCTGAAGTTTGTAGATTCTGTATGTATGTGTAGATATGAATCTCCTGAGAAAGGGGTCTATAGTTCATCAGTTTCTCAAACTTAACTATCATTAATCTAGTTGATAGTACCTATTTTTGAGGTAAGAAAGTTCAGGCTAGAAAAAATTAAATGATATACCCAGGACCACGCAACTCACTAGTAGAGCTTGGTTTAAAACTAACTTCTTGCTCCTGGGCTCATAGTCCATCTGTTTTGTCAGATTTGGTGGGAATAGAAGAATGAAAATAATACCTACAAATAGTGTATAACTGTGACAGCATCCAAATATTCTCCAGAGAAGTAGAAGAGAGGTGAAGGCAAATGAAAGGGGTGGAACTGGGGAGTGGATGGAAGGGAGGAGCCTTGTAAAATGCCAGCCTACATCAGAGCATGGTGCTTGCTAGCTGGAGAATCTTGACTTAGATGGCTGCCTTAGCATGTCCAGGCACCCTTTGGGACCAGGTGACCAGAAACTGAGGCAGACAGAAACCGGAGGCACCATTTTGGAAGAGATAGTGGGATATTGCCCACAAATGCCTATGAGAAACTTTATTTCAGGTTCTCATTACTTCACATCTTGCAGCTACAACAAAATAGTAGTCCATCTACCTCCAGTTTTACCTGCTATCCAATCCTGTTTACTACTGCCAAATTAATCCATCATTAACCAGTGTCTCCATGTTACTCCCCCCCCCCAATAAAAACTCCCCAAAGGTCTCAATTCCCATGAAAAAAATGCCCAATGTTTCAGATTTACAAAGACCCTTTCAAGCAGCTTTTTCATGCTAGCTGCCATACCTTAATTCAGGTTATTTCCACCTCTGAAATTGACACTGTAGTTGTTACCAAAATCTAGGCATTTTTCCTTTTCTCATTCATCCTGCACATGGATATCCGATTAATCTTCCTAATGCCATCCCTAATCATGTTAATTCCTATTCAGAAACTTTCCATGACTATCCTTAAGAATGATTTTCAAATTGCCGCACAGTGAATGCCAGCATCTGGGGGTTTCGGGGCAAGTAGGGAGAATTAGAGTGTGAGCCTCCCAGCCCCCTCAGAAGATTTTCAGATTTCTTTGGCTTACAAAATTCCTAACCTCTTAGCCTGATTGATAGTCAGATGTGGATCATTTAAGGAATTCCTTGCTGTCTCATCTATTGACCCCTTGCTTTAGACAAATCAGATAACTTCTGCCTTTACTTTACATCTGTTTCAGTCAGTTTGAATCCCAGCTGGTTCTTCCATCTGCCCTTTGTCTAGGCCTCCTCCTCAGTTGTGCTGCTGCTTTATTTTCCCCGGATAATCACATCCATCTACTAATGGGATCTTGACTTCATGAGGAAGGAGTGGAGCGAGTGCCTCATCCTACCATAGTGTTGTTTTCATCTATCTACTGAGTATCTTGAAACTGAACCCATTATCTTTTTTATTGACCAAGTTGACTTTTTATTGTTGTTGTGGCCTGTATTGGTGGGCGGAGTTAATTCAAATTAAGTTTTTGTTAAATTTCTAATGAGAGAAGCAAGAGCTTTTGTCTGACTTATTCAGTTATCCTCCAGGTGCTGAGCATTTTCTGTGTCTTAAATCAGTTTTCTTATGTGTTCCTATTGCTGATATCCCATTTCAGGCAAGAGATAGGTAGTGTGATACCTTTTCAATTGTTCTCTACACCTCCAATTTCTTTTCTAATTAACCACATTTCTACAAAAGTGATCTTGTGCATCTTTTTTTTTTTTTTTAAGCTGAGCCATCCTGCTACCTGTTGGCAGCTCAGCGGCTGCTCAGCGGCTGCTCAGCTTGGGCTGGACTCGAACCTCTGTTGCTCAGAGCTCAAACTCTTGAGCGAGCTCTTAACCAACTGAGCCACTGGGCTGGCCCTCTACAAAAGTGATCTTAAACACACCTGACTGTGATTCTCACCTGTTTAAAAATTTTCAATGGCTTCCAATAGTCTGCATGATACAGGCCAGATACCAAAGTGTTATATACCAAAGCAGACCACTTTGACCTGCTCCAAGTTTTTAAAAAAATCAACATGTTAATAGCCATTAATATGCAGAATAGACATGCCCACCTTAACCTCAGATAAAGCTTAGAGATGGAGTACAGATTTTAAAAGCTGAAAGTTAAATTTTTAAAATTGTTTTTGTTTCGTTTTATCAAAATGATGACACTGAAGTAAAAAAGAGTCAAAGTTACTTCAAAATGGCTATAGGAAGTTAGCTGTGGCAAAGTTCATCTATCTTATCTATCTATCTATCTATCTATCTATCTACCTTTTTTTTTGTTTGTTTGTTTGCATTTAAGGCCCTCCCATGGCTTTAACACCTGGGCCTATTTTCCAAACAAAATCATAAATGCTACACTGATAAAAGCCACTTTTGTCTATTTTATTAGTATAATTTTTTTAGTTTATGTATATATATATATATATATATTGCTTATAAAATCAATTAATAGAATAATGAGGTTGCTTTGATGAACCTTTTGTTTTGAATTGGGGTGTAGATGATACTTAAAGATTTATTTCAAACTTAGCAAACAATTTCTTTGCATATTTATCAGAAATTCTTTTAATCAATTTGCTACTAGCCAATTCTGTGGATTTATCAACCCATAGGCTTTAGAGTGCATTTAGGCTGTTCTCTGATGCACTCACGTAAAATTCTGTTCCCACTGGTTGAGTTATACCTTACCAGGACCAGTTGTCTTATTGCCAGTCCTATCTATACCAACTATGCTTGTAATGATCGTAATTTAATTAAATGTATGTAAACTAATAATCCATGAGTATGAAAAGAAACTTGCTTCAGTGAAATCTTAAATTGAAAGTTTGGAAAACTCAATAAAGGTGAGTTGTTATAAACAAATTCTGTAGAATTAGGTGTAAGCAGACAAGTAAAAAAAGATTGGAGACACTCATAAAAAGAGGTAAGGATTCTGCACGCAGATTGTTCTGCCTTAAGTCTGTTAAAACTAGAAAGCATAGGTGATGCATTATGGTGTGTTTATGTTATAAAGACCTGGGACTCCCGATCAGTGAGCCAAACTAACAACAATAACAAAAAGCTTTGGCCTTATAGCAGATTAGTAAATAAATGTAAATTATATGTTTTAAGTTAAATACAATAGTTTATCATTTTCTTATGGTTCAGTTGCTGTAGCCAATTTGTAACTACCAATTTGGATCACTTCAAATAACAGTGCTTCTGTATTAGTGTTACTATTAGTATTATTGTTTTTTTCCTTTTTTGTTTGGTTTTGAAAAAAAAGTCTTGGTTTACTCCTGAAAAATAGATACAAATAGTTACAGGGTTTTTTTTTTTCTTAACTTCCTTTCTTTCATTCTCATGGTATTCTTCAGTGAAGCAGAAATAGCTAGAGAAACTTTCATGTAAGGTCATGTAAAAAAAAAGGAAAAGAAACACAACCTGGAAACACAAGTTCATGCATTGGTGGTTTCCTTTCTGTACAGTATAAAACATTTCTGTTATTTTTATTACTATTTTAAAAGATTAAAAACATTTAAAACTGAAGTTTTAATCTAATGTTTGTGACATTAGTGGGACCACAGAGTTCTACAGAACATATCTGGAAAAGTCATTGGGAGGGATTCTCTGCCTTCTTTCTGATTCTATCTGCTTCCATTGTTCCCACATACCATCAAGTCAGGACTTGGAAAGTACTTCCAGTTCTTTAACAATATCACATGCTGGCATGCCTTTTTCTACATTGTTTTCTATTCTAAAATATGGGTTCCTAGCCCAGGTTCACAGAGAATACCCTGGAGAGGCTAGAGCTTTAGGATGTATAACCCTCTTGACATTGCATTAAAATGGGTGTGAGTTTTTCTAAGCATCATGAAAATAAGCACTATGTCATCTCTAGCTCAGTTCAAAGGTTTATGTTGCTTAAGCCCCCTCTCCTCACATTGCAACAATCTCTCATACTATCCTCCTAATCCAACTTCTCAGGATGGAGCAGGAAGAATACATGTACAAATGTGATTTTCATTCTAATTTAATGGTTGAAGTCGTCAGCAGTTTTTCTAGATCCTGATGTTGATCAGTTATTTGTAAGCATTTAAAAACTCCGTTTAGGGCCAGGGTCCTTGGTACCAAAGGGTTACTGCTTATGATGTCCTTCCCAACTTTCAGTATGGCCCACATATAGTGAAGTTAAAGAATTCCAGCTCTGAATATATACCTGTATCCCAGTGGCAAAATACAGTTAAAAAAAAAAAAGGGAAAAGAAGAATGCAGAATTGTATCATAATACTACATATGATGAGAAAAGCACAACCTAGAAGAACTAAAGGAAGAACAAAACGGGCCCAGACGAGTTTTACGTACAATATCTGTTGACTGCAGACCTCTACCTTTTCAACTAGGCTTTAAAGTTGGATACCTCACTTTTAAACCTTTCAGGTTCTCTAATTATTTCATGAATGAAAGTTCCCTGAGAGCCATCATAGAAGGTATTGATTTATTAAATATCTAACCACTATAATAGTTCTTTTATCAGTTCTTTGAATATAGGAACAACCTTTAAAAGGCCATCCAGAAACATCCCAGCAGTCAGTGATGACAAAATAGGAATTTAAAAAGTATGTAGCACTTGAGAGTATTCAAAGTACTTTTATTTGTATTAGCTCCTCTGATCTAACATTCTTTTGAAATAAGTATTTATTTCAACTATTATCTTTAATTTACAAATGATACTGCTTAGATTAAATGACTTGCCTGAAAACATGAATAATACTATATACACTTATTGTAAGTGAACACAATTTTGTACTATAATGAACAGTTTGGAATAAAATATGATCATTAGGTTCACCTCAAGTTCTGCTGTAGAAATGGCAGTTTCCAAAATGCTGACTTTCAATCTTATTTTAATTGTGTCATCATTCACCTGTGAAACATCCCCATCAACAGCATACTTCATGATTTCATTACATATAGTAATTTTACCTGGTAAAAGAGAAGGCTAATGCATTTTAAGAAAGTATTACCCTGTAAAATTTGACACTATACCAGTTAAAAATCACTGTTTTAACCTTATCAGTTTGGCTGTCTTTCACCAGCTTGAAATCATGTTGTTTCCTTCAACTTTATTTACAAAGGAATTATTTTTCTTACTTTTCTCCAGAACCAGATTTGGTGGTTTCCTCCCCCAGTCACAGGTTACATCACTACCATTTGATAAATTAACTTTGCTTAGCAGGAGATTGTAATGTATACTCTCTTTAGCCTTAGTTCATCTGACTGTTTTGAATTCTGGATTTGAGATGTCAGCTGGCTCTACCCTAATTGCTATCCACACATGCAGAGATGTAGCTTAAGGCAGGGCTTTGAGTTCAGACATATCTCAGTTCCAATCTTATTTCTGCCACTTACTAGTTGTGGGATCCTGGGTATGTTCTTTACATCCTTCAAGCCTTCGTTTCCCCATCTGTAAAATGGAAATAATCTTCCTGTTTGTCAGAGTTATTCTACAGATTATGTGGAATAATGTATATAAAGCACCAATGTGGTGATGGCTCCAATGCAGCCTCTGACACACCCAGGGGACCTGCCTGCCCTTATGTTATGTATACCTCCTGTTCTAGAGCCTAGCACTGCAGTGTCTCCGTATCTTATGGTTCTTTTGAGATTGCAAGCCCTCAATGGCAACAGAAACACTTGACCACTTCCATTTTAAAAACTTCCTCAAAAATGTTTGGAATGAGTAATGCCTAAATTGCAGGCATTGTGCTAGGCTGTAGAGATTCCAGAAGAGTGAAGTTGGTTTTTACTCTCAAGAAGCATAGTCTACAGGAGACTGTAGACAAATATCAGGGAATTAAGTTGCAGTGAGTGATGTGCTATGTTAGGGACCTAATCCGGGCATTTGGGATGTTGGGGGGTGGGGGAGACAAGCTTGATTTGAGTGGTCATTAGGTTTTTTTACTGCTATATTGTGGTCTTATGTTAAATTTAAAAATTCTAAAGGTATCCAGTAATCTGAGCACAGGATACAGAGAAATCAGCAGCTCATTCACTTACTTAGCTAATGCTTGTTCATGTTACACTTGACACAGTACTCTGGGAACATCACAATAAATAAAAACTGGTTTCTATACTCTTAAGACTCAAGGGCTCTATCTGGGGAGGCCCACACCTTCGAAATAAGTAGTTGTAAAATAAGACAGCCTGTGCTACAGTGGTAGCATGTGGGAAGTGTGTGGCCTCGTGCTTTGATTGTGGGCCTTTCTCTCATCTTGTCCTGCCTTAGCCTCATCCGTGTCAGCACACTGGATTCAGAGGCATGAGGATCGGTGGAGGCGATGATGGTCGGGCTGCAGGAACATAATGGACCGGCCTGGCACAGGAGACAGAGACAGTTTGAGTTAGGAGTCCAGAATTGAAACATAATCATCTTGATTTATACATTTTAGCCTATTTATATATACTTTGTATATACCGTATTTCCCCATGTATAATAAGATGCACCCTTTTTTGAAAAATTTGGGGTCTAAAAACTGGGTGCGTCTTATACAGTGGTTGTATGAGCGCAAAAAGACAAGCACGAAAAAAGTGGGAAATGCAAGTAAAAAAGCTACAACCACTGTATAAAACGCACCCAGTTTTTAGACCCCAAATTTTTTTTAAAAAGGTGCGTCTTATACATGGGGAAGTACGGTACTCATTCTCATGCACACACAACTCTTCTGATACTCTTCCTGACTACTTAAAAATAACATGTGGCACTGTCCCCTGTTAGCGTGCCATCATGTTTCCAAGTGTAGGTATGTGTTTCTCACCTCACTCCATAAAGCCTTAAGACAGCACAGTGAGACCATATGCAGTAAAGTAATGTTAACATGTAAATAGCCATAACAAAGTGATATGTGATAAACTTCAAACGAACAGATTGATAGGTGATTGGTGAAGCGTTTTCAGATAAGTATTATAATTCAGTTCATATTAGAAAAGAAAGCATTAAAAAGAAAAAAAGGCCTATAACAGTAGCCTGTTTGTGCCAGCATTCTATCTCTGAGAGGGAATTGAAGGGACTTTTTGTTCACAAACTTAGACATTTTCCCACTGTGACATCTATTGGTCTAGTTTTGTGCTTATCCTCAAAATAGCATCGATGACAATTTTGTTCTTTGCTTATTATTCCAGGCTCTGTTTAAAGGACTTTTAATCATCAAAATTAATTTGATGATTACCCATGAGGTAGGCATTATTTTACTGATGAGAAAACCAAGGGTTAGAGAAGTTAAGCAGCTTCCTACGATCACATAACTAACCAAACACTATTAACCAGCTACCAGGTAGCAGTAAGGCTTCAACCCAAGCAGACTGACTCCCATTCTTCTTGGAGGTTGTTCCCCCTGCGTCCCCCAGATGTGTAGTTAGATATGAATAAAGAGGAAATGTCTACACAAAATAGGTGTTTGTACTTTATTTTTCAAAGAGGTTATCTTCAGATACCAACGAAAATGAAGAACCACTCCTAAGAAAGAGTTCTCGCCGATTTGTCATCTTTCCAATCCAGTACCCTGATATTTGGAAGATGTATAAACAGGCACAGGCGTCCTTCTGGACAGCAGAAGAGGTAAGTGGCATCACCTTGTCAGCAATCACGCTCTATCGTGCAGTGTTCACGTCTGTTACAGGATATTGAAACATTGAATAAGATCAGTGGTATAAAATAGTGTTTGAAATTACTGAGATTAAATTACAGTGTTCACCAGTGTTTTTGGTGTTTAGACTACTGTCTATAAACATGTTTCCTGCTATAAAAATGGCATCTCAAGGGCCAGCTGAGTGGCTGAGTTGGTTAAGAGCTTGCTCAAGAGTGCGAGCTCTGAGCTACAGGGTTGTTGGTTTGATTCCCAGCCCGAGCTGAGTTGCTGCTGAGCTGCCAACAGGTGGCAGGATGGCTCAGTTTTAAAAAAAAATGGCATTTCTGTCTGCCAGATTTTTATTTCCAATATGTTTTTTAGGACATTTTCTATTTATAAATGGACTTTTGGTTTGCTCTGACCACATGAAACGAGTCTTTACTTATGATCAGCAGAATAAGTAAAACTGTAGCTACAGCCAAAAAAATGAAAGTGAAAGCCTTAGAACCCACTTTTAATTGAGAGACTTATCTGATTATGCAGAAGGAGCTGTCACACAAAGAGTTTGACCAGGCCCAGGCAGTGTGCTCACTTCTGAGCCGCCAGCCAGAATTCTCTGTGCTCCTCCCGGTCCAGCCCTGCCCTCAGCCACATCAAACCTGGCGTGGCTTCCCCAACATACAGGACAGCTATGGGATGCTTTCTGCTAGAGTGGCATTTTCTACCTAGGAATTGAGTTGAATACCACAAATTAAAAAATACTCGCTGGGGCCGGCTGAGTAGCATGTTGGTTAAGAGCTGGCTTGGGACACCAGAGGGCCCCGGTTCGGATCCCACAAATGAGGGCCAGTGACACTGCCCTCTACACAACTAGACTGAAGAACAAAAGGATAGCAACTTGTCTCTTCCCCTTCCCCCAATTCCCCGATAAAAATCTTTACCAAAAAAAAAATACTCACTGGTTTAGTAAGGACATTTGGTCATGCAAATGGTTGGTGCTCTGTTGCCTAACTGAACACACAAATAGCCATTGTCTTCATCTTTTTTTTTTAATTTAATTTTTATTTTGGATAGAGTAATTGTGTTTATTGTGTTTTCCAGTTCTAGCTTTCAAGAACATTTTGGATGCCATGCACCATTTCAGGCACTAAAAATAGAATAGAAAACCTGAAAAATTTCTTTCTCTTATATGCCTTACATTTTAGAAGGGGTATGTGAACAGTGCATTAAATAACACATAAATATCACAAACAACAAAAATATTTTAAAGTAAAAAAAAAAAAGAATGGAAACTACTGCAAATCTTTATATCAATGTACAACCTGACCATTATACAATATAAGATCCTACAATTTTGAATACTCTAAAAATCACAGACTAACACATTAATTTGAACATAAAATATGGAAAGTAAAAGTGCTAACAGTTCTTAAATGACAAGTAAATTTGTAAGGAAAATAATTATATATCTACATCTGTATTTGTTTGTATACCTTTAACTATGAGTGTGTATTGGCTGTTGAGAAACAAAATGATTAGGGAGATTGTAAAAACAAGAAAAAATGTAAATTAGACACAGAAATGACTACAACTCAAAGTATACTTATGGAAGCTGTACTTTTTTTTTAACTTTTTTTTTGTTGCTGCTATAGTTCTTTTTTCTTTTATTATTATTATTTTAGGATTTTATTGGGGAATTGGGGGAGGGGAAGAGCATTGGGGGATCAGGGAAGGGGAACAGACAAGTTACTGTCCTTTTGTTCTTCTATCTAGTTGTGGAGGACGTCGCTTCACTGGCTCATGTTGGTGTTATTATTGCACTCTTCCCGGGTGAGGCAGTCACTTGCTGGCCAGTAGATGGCCGCTGACAGCAGCCCAGCTCCAAATCGAGCTGTTGTTCACCATCTTAGCTGTAGAGGGCGCAGCATCACTGGCCCTCATGTGGGATACGAACCAGGGACCTGCTGCTCGGAGCTGGCGTTCCAAGCCAACTCTTTTTTTTTTTTTTCTTAAAGATTTTTATTGGGGAATTGGGGGGATGGGAACAGTGCTGGGGAGTTGGAGGAAGGGGAACAGACAAGTTACTGCCCTTTTGTTCTTCAGTCTAGTTGTGGAGGACGTTGCTTCACTGGCCCAAGTTGGCATTGCACTCTTCCCGGGAGAGGCAAATCAGTCGCCAGCTTCTGGATGGCCGCTCACTGCAGCTGCTAGCCGCTCACGCTGGCTGCTGGCTACACACGGTAGCCCATGGCAACCCACTGCCACAGGGGCTGCAGACTATGCCATTGTCGGCAACTCACAGCAGCCCAGCTCCAGGTTGAGCTGTTGTTCAGCATCTTAGCTGTGGAGG